AATCTGGTGGCTGCCCAGTACCTAGGACGTCCTACGTCTCTTCTCTATTTACAGAAACTTCCACACCCAACACTGCCTTGCCAGACTTCTCACCTCGACGTTTCTTATATGCACTAAAATACTCGAGACAACGTCTACTCCATCCTCAACGGCGTCTGCTGATTTCCCCCCTGTGCCTGTCGTGGCAACGACACCAAGTGTAGGAACCAGAATCTTGGTCAGTGCAAACATTTAGTTGTTTAGTAAAAACTCGGACTGGTTTTGTAGAATATGATAATGCTACACTGAATACATCAATAATACATGGTTCTAGAATTATTCCTTACATTCCTATTGCTACTAAAATCGATTATTTTTCTTCTCGTGTTTCTTTTCTGTCATTAAAATCGCTACTGGGAATCTACACACGTACTGTTTATGTATATCCGTATAAATCACACGCACTGCAGCACTCGTGTCAATTGTAAGCTTTTCGAAAATGGGTTACAATTTTACCGGTGGATCTGAAATTATTTAATTGAATAATAATAATTATCCTTAATGTAATTAGTTTTATTGTGCCTTGGATTTTTTTGAGCTAGTTTGTTCATAATTCTAAAGTTAGACATTATCTGTTTCAGAATCAAACATATAAAGTCCAATATTTCTGAAGAACACATTTAGGCTGAAGATAAGACATCATATATATTTAATATCAATGAGAGGTAAGTTACAGAGGTATGACCACGTCTGCGAGGCTGTTGCATGCCACCCGATTGAATTAATTGATACTTCTCACCTTCACGTCTGATCTTCTCTTCGTGTTAATTGTTGAACATGCAACTTCACAGTTGTCTCATGTTCAGCTTTGGGGATTGTGTAGCAAAAACCGATAACATTACAAACTCACCTTATAAGTCAAATGGCCGTTTATGCAGTCAAGAGCTTACATTTTCCGAGTTAAGAGACACCCTATTGGAAACAATTTGTGTGAGCTGATGGTGGCGATGCTTTTAGTTAGAAAATTAGATTGACCTATTATCCTATACTCAGCAGGTACTTGAACGTAATTTATTAGCATTAGTGTTCTACATATGAACTGAATTATATTTGAGGTATACACAAGTTGAAAACTTTAAAACTGACTTCATTTCTGATTTACTACTGCACGCACAATGCGAAATTTAGGGTATTTTATTCCAGCCATATATTTGTCCTACGTTAACTCCTGAACACCATATCATTGTTAAATGAACTACATGTAAATGCTTTCAGTTTCAACGTGGATTATTTGACTGAAGCCAAAAGCTTATATGGTAAGTCTTATGTTGAAGTTGCCTCCAATTTGCCAGCAATTTACATCTGCAGAGTATTTATCTACTAGAACTTTAGATTTATTTCACTTCTCAGATAATGTGACCGGTCCTGTAAAGTGGGTAAACAGGCAGATAAGGGAGATGCAATTTAACATTACTTGAATGAATAAGTTTTTACGAATGGTTTCGTATTTTCAGCTTTTAAACGTTGTATAAAGTTAAGTATTACAGAAAAATCTCACTACAGCTAACAGCCCGTTAAGATAGTGGCAAAACAACATAGCTCTACCCATGTATTATTTACCAATGCAAACGTGTCTTAATAGTGGCGTGATCACCCGAGAGGATTATGTGTGTTTATTTTAAAATGTTAGATAAAATTATGCAACAGACGAGACTTAAGCATTCTGTGACTATAAGAACACATAGTGAAATAAAAATTGTGCGGATGTGCAAATACGTGGTCAGCTATAATAATAAGATCACAAGCGATTACGGAAATTTTAAAACGATTTGATAGAGGACTGAGAAGATGAATTTGGTCTGAAAAATGTAATGTGTTTACACAATACGTTTAGAATAATCTGGTCACATATTGACTTTTTGAGGCATTTACTAAAATCAAATAGAAGATCGAATAAACACAAGACGATCTTCGTAAATAAAGGAGGACGAAGAATTAATATAATATGGAGGGATTAAGAAATTGTAAAACCATTTCAGGTCTTAAATGGCTTAAAGATGTTCGGAATCGATTTAAGGTTGAGACGTTCCATGGATTTAACGCTCAAATGTTGGTGTTATTAGATAATAGGATAGTGTAGAAGCATGGCAGCTGGAAATAATTATTCTACTCATTATCCTGCCTAATGTTTGTACCTTGAAAGCCCATTAATTGAAGACGATTAAGATATTGATTGTACGTGTGTATCGAAGATTATTTCTTTTTTATTGTTTACCGATATATGGTTATCCCCTTTTATCTGTCTGCTTTGCATCAAGAACCTAACCTAGAAATATTAATGGATTGTGGATCTGGACATTAAAACCTTATAACAACGAACCGAGTGGTATCGTCAGAATTATTATGAAATTTTCCCCTGAAGCAAACTTGTGAACTTCAACTATCCGACAAATAACGATAGTATCATTCTGACATAGAAGGCACACGCCATGATCTATAGGTATGATTAGTAATTTCTAACATGCGTTTGGAAATAAGGTACGAACTGGGTAGAGTTATTCAATAAATAGTACCTGTGAGAATATCTGGGAGAATAATCACTCATTTGATGTTAGTACTATACTAAGTTGTTTTCAAAAGATTCCATAATTTTCACTACTGCAGAGAGAAAAAGATGAGTCTGTCGTTACAATATCCTAGCCCGCATCCAATGATCTTGTGCATGTTAGTCTTTAGCCGATAGACAGACCGAGATGTCTTGGATTGTTTCTGACAGAAGTAAAAACAACTTATAGATTGAAGGATCATCACCCAAGTAAATTCCGTCAGGTCTTTTCATCAATAAACCCGTGTTCACTCGATCAAGATATCTTAAAGGTCTGATCTAACATTCTTTATAACAGTCCTAAGGTAGCATGTGAATGAAATAACTTCAACTGATGACTGAGTCATGGAACGTCAAATTGAATTTTTAATTCTAAACTAAGGAGATTTAGGATTAGTAATAGCTGTGGAAGTTTGTTCAGACACGCACGATCTTGGACAGTCGAAATTCTATACGAGGTGGTAAGTTAAATGATGGTTCGTAGTAAAAAATTAAGTTAAATATACATTATAATCTAAAAAAATTTACTACCCAGTTATTCAAGTAAGAATTATCATACAAAGTTGAACAATAATATCTAAATTACATTTACAAAAAAAACTGACAAATGACATAACATTATAACCGGTTCTAAAAATAAACGTTTCTATCAATGCAGGAGTGTTATTCTCTTTTCCGGTCATATCATGTACAGTTCGCCTGGAAGGTAATATGTAACTTAATAGTAATACTAATAACAAAAATATCAAGAGTTGTAAATAAAGTAATTTGTTATGACAATGAGTGTTCCCAGTTCCAAAAGTGTGTTTCGATTCGCATTTAAAATTATCCACGATTTCGGCCAGCTTAAGCAACAAAATTGTAATACGCCCGAAATCTTACACCATCAGTTTCTTGTTCCATTTATCGGATTGTCTCAATCTCACGCTTCAGTTTTTTTGATTGGTATCAATTGCTTTCATTATTAAATGCAAATTTATTTTATGTGATTAGCGAGTCGTCGGCTCACCTTTTCTTCTGTTGTGTTTCCTTCCATATAATTTCATTCACTGCTCCGAACACTCCACCGGCACAAAAAATATTATAAAACTAGACTCAAATCTACCTGTCGTTTTGAAATCAAAGAGGGAAAGAATAAATATGACGGCCATCATATCTACAGTGTGAATTAAATCTGTATTGAAGTATTTGACAAGTAGTCATAGGTGCCACTACACAGGAACAACAAAATCTACAATAAAAAAATTTATTGAACATCTCATCCACAACCAGAAGATCGACAGGAGGAAAATCTAAACGGACTAAGAAAAAAATTTTACAATTACAGCAACAAGCTTCATTACAGGGGTATATACGTGTTCGGATTTTCATACATATTCACATAAAACGAGCAAAAATGATCCTTCAAGCGTCGTCATTATATTAAAATTGACGTAAGTATGCTAGGTTTGTAAATCCTATTGCTTGATTAGAAAAGCATCCGCTCATCTGTCCACCACCAAGTACACTGTGCCATATTATTGGGCAGGCTTGATTACACAGAGTCTCTGACTTCAATGAAAAGCTTGGAGCTGTAGACTATGGAGTAAGAATTATAAATGTTGAAGTATACCAACAGAGGAATGATGATCGAGGATACATGACATACTACAGTACTCTCAGCAGCGTCAAATTTACGGATCGTTTAAATAACCTTGATGCTTCGAAGATTTTCTGTCATACCTCGATGATATTCCATGTAAATAATGAGTGAGGAGAGTGAGTTACTAGGCACTGGACACCAAGAATGGTGAAAAATAGTATCAAGCCAGTATTTGATATTCGCGCTCGTCATCCTATTAGTTCATTTAATAAAATTCGAACATGAACGTAAAATTTTTCTTATTCGAAGCCCTACATTCCATTTCAGTCATGAGTGAATTCACAGAAGTAAACAAATGTTCTTGAAATGATAAAATGATGAAAGAAAATTTATTCAAGGTGTAAGGGAAGTATATGGACGACTTTGAGATACTCTCAGCGAACGAGAAAATGATGGAATGATTTGTGATAAAAAGGAAATATAATTGTGGTTGATGATCCTTTTCAGTATGAGTCACAAACCTTGAAATATGGATTTTAGGAGTTTTCAGAACGATCTGGTACATACGAGCGAGTAGAAACTGGTTTCGCTCGGAAATCTTATTGACTCATCAACATACGTAACTTCTGTACCATTTACAGCAGTTCGGATACGAAAATATATCAGTAATGGATGATAAATAGTAAGCGGAAGTCTGGAGGACACCACTTATTCTGTTAATTCTTGACTGAAGGTATTGGCGATCCATTGCTACTTGACACAAAAGTTGTTAAGAGGAAGCTTATTATATACCATCCATCACCGTTTGAACTATCCGAACGTGTGTCAATAATTATTGAAAATTAATAGCGCATTATAGAATTATTGCGTTACTTTAGGCTTTTTTTCCGTTCACTGAGTATGTAAGTACTGCTTTTCGCTCTTAAAACTAAAATAGACGGTAGCGCGAGTTTTAAAGATTAAGTTGGTGAAGACTCAATTTTTAGGACTTGTTGCTCTGATCGAGTGGTTATACTGTTTTTATCGGCTAAATGGTATTCCAAATTATTTGTTCGCATCTAAAGAAGACCACATCTGGTGCTAGCTTCAACCATGTTGTTGAATGTCGACTAACAAAATTAATGCAACTGGAAATATAACATTGCATCCGCACTATTGAATACGGAATTGTAGTTTCGCTCTTGGGTGTTAACTGTTGTTTGCTTCACTCGTTACTATGTATAAAATAGTTCGGTAAAATCACCAAGTTATCTGTTTGTATTCTTGTTGTTTTTCTACTTAGATTCTCGCGTTGAGTGATTGTCGGTAACGACGGTCACCATCAAGCGTTCGTGGGCTTTTGTTCATTTTCTTAACGATAGCAGATCTATTAACCAAAGACTAAACGTCACATGTCTAGCAGAGTGTCTTTAAAACAAAAACTGATAGGTCAGTTAGAAGATGCTGACTCAATTTTAAGGTATGCTATACATAACATATCTCAAGTTTCTTTTGTTCTATTAGGGACATACTTTCTGCAGCCTCCAAAAAGAAATCCTCTGTTACACTGCTTCCTCTCATAGAATTATTGTTGGAAAAAGATCAACAGCTTAAGGAAACTTATAAAGAAAGTATATCATTAAATTTTGCAGCATGCGGTACTAATTCCATCGTTTAGTCGAAGTTTACAACGAAATACAGAAAAAGATCGATCTCCTTAAGGCGGATTGTTCGAAATCCGACAAACAGATCCAGTCATGTCAGCTTCATTTAAAAAAGACTGAAGTTATTTTGGTTAGTCTTCTGTTCTTTACTTGCGCATATTTAGTAGAGCACTGCTTTATACTATTCCAGACAGAAGTTGGACTCAATGACTACTGCTGTTAAAAATCCGATTGATATGGAAGAGCTCGTTAGATTTTCCCACAGGATTAGCGCTACTCATGGCGTAATAGCCCCAGACAACTGGACTCAAGGAGACCCTAGAAGACCATACCCAAATAAAGAAGAGATTCGGCGTGGATACTTGGGTCATATTGATGATGCTGGAAATTTTCGGCAGTCACTTTGGGATGCTTTGTTGGATACTGCTGCTGCCGCAGCCTCAATAGTTAGTTCGTCTACCCCATCAGTCTCCAGTAGTTCTGGTCCAAATAGTTTGGGCAACGCGAATATAGTGGCGTCTCAGACTCCTGTATATCACAGTAACCAAACGCAACCCACAAGTTTATCGCTAGGTAATATTCACTTACTGTTGTTATTTTTGAATGTCAGACCCAAATTTGTCACGTTAAGGTGTCTTATCATCCCCTGAGATTATCAACATTATTTAAACTTAAGCTATAAGTGTGATAGACCTTCCTATACTTCAGTAGTTGACAAACCATTATAGCGACCGTGAAAAAATTCAGTTTGTATTTGAAGCTAAGATTTAATAGTTAAGAATGAACAGTCTGATCTTCCTATTTACTCTCTGGTTCCTATTACTTTTATTATAAGAGGTTTTATAAACCCCCTAGAAATACAAAATGATTTTTCAGGATACACCTCGTCACAGTAGTAAGTCTTATATAGTATGTTGATGTGCGAATTTAACAAAATTGTCCACTATACAGACATTTAGGGGTAACCAGCCATCTTCAATCATACTAAAGGAAGTGATTCAGTAGCCATACTATGATACTGAAAGCATTATCTCACGGCTTTCACATCAGAACTGATGTGAAATCCTCTTGGCACTTACAATAAATTTTCGGTCTAGGTTGTGTCAAAAGTGCTTGACCTTGAACACGGAAATATATAGCGTATTGAGGTATCATTTTGTTTAAATATAGATGCGCACAAGCCATTGTTAGTGATCCCATGTCGTAATATACATAAGACTAAAACGATTTCGGTTTTCGTAGGGTATCTTCCACTGTGATAATGTGAAATCTGGCAGCTTTTCCTAATAGACATTTTTCTCAGATATTACGTTATGATTGACCAACTGAAGCTCACATGAGATATGTAATGGAGTAGTAAAAATGAGCACCAATAATCAATCTATATTTTCAAGTACTTTAAACTAGTAGTTATTTCAGCCATATACATAGAGTTAAATATGTACCGATACCACAGAATATTTTCAACCGAAGACGTTTAGAAATAAAAAAGATCATACGCTACCTAAGATGAAAAAGTTTGATTCGTTGATATGTGCTGTCAAACGTCTATTTAAGGCTCAATAAGTAAAAGAATCCAACTTTATCAAAACCTCGTTTGTGGTGTTGCCTAACAAGTACCATAGCCGTTTCGCTCTCGTCTAATATCTAGTTACGTAGAAAACTATATGAAAATTCTGGGAAGGAGTTTTACAGTAGATGTTTTGTGCTTAGCAAAATAGGATAGTAACCATTCCATGTCTCCAGTTGTTTTTCCAAAGAAGAGCACCGGAAAGGCCGCTGGGTTTCTTGTTTAATGTATTTTCAAGTCTAGTATCAACCTTGGAAGGCAGTTTTCATTCACCTAGAGCCGTATCTATTTTAAATTTAGATGAGGTCCCAAGTAGGGGTGTTTAAGAAACAAGTTATGTCAGAAACAAAATTATTATGTAATGTATTGTTTTATGTGGTAGACCAGTTTATTTTTAATTATAACCGATATAAGACCCGCCAAAAATGTACACTGACCAAAGTTTCCGCACTTTGGAACGAACTCGATTGTCCGTAAATCATCGTAGTAATACTGATATCAGTGGTGGTGAAAACTAGTCATGAAAGAAATTTTGGGAAAAAACACTTGCAGTAATGCTCACTCAATATTCTAAATAAAATCAGACATGTATAAGTCTGGGTTACTGAGACCAGTGTTGAATCATGAAAACAAAGGTCTCCAATCAGAGTTCACGATTATCCCGAGAACCCCAACCAGATAGTTTGTAGCTCTCGTTATAGTTTAGTTGAAGACGCAATGACTTCATAGTATGATGTCATTTTTTGGTTTGACTGCACCTAACTTCTTTCGACTTATTCCTGTGCTGACCAGCGCAGTTCACTGTAGTAGACGATGGATAGAATTAAGGAGCGATGGTGAGAAGCCGATTCTTTCATATTAATCACATGCGTAAACTATGGATTTCGGAAAAATAGCTGTCGTGTTGCTGTTTGATCTACATCCGATAGTCGTGAAATAAATTTTGTCGACTGTATTTTAAGTTTTGCAAGGAACTGTTTTGTTTTAACATTTTTCTCACAGATTTTTCCATGTACTAATTAGTGCATGCATTTAGTTTATCCGAATAAAACTCAAAATTGTAGAAATATTTTGGCGCAGTCGTGTAGAATAATTATGAATTATTATTCTTGCCTTTATTTTAGCGTACACTTATTTTTGTATATAATTGTTAAGGTGCAAATTACTTTGTTTATCTTATGAAATTCTAGTCACTTGCTCTCCGAATATGATTCTACCAGGGGTTAACATGGTTTCCTCACCAATGTCCTTTTCACAGTCTGGTGGCTCGTCTACATGGACTGGACCAAATATGAACCTCGTCACAGGAAATCCTACCAGTTCGGAATTAGCTGGTCCTCAAATACCAGCTTCTCGACCGCCTTCGACTTCACTAGCCGCTATGCTTACTGGTACAAATATAATGGATCAACATTCTCGTAACACCACATTGCCTCCACCTCCTCTTAAGCCAGGAAGTGGACAAATGCAAGCAAGTCAGGCCACGTCTTTCCGGCCAAGTGGTGTCCTACCTCGACCATCTAACTCTGGAAATCGACAAGCATTTCCTTCATCTCCGAATTCCTCTGGATCGCAACATATACAGTATCCACATAGTGATACATATCCCGGTTTTATGCCGAACAGTAAAACATCTCGACCACATTCCAAACGTGCACATCGGAAAAACACAGACACAGAGTGTACGGAAATGTCATCTAATTCCTCTAGTGATTCATCCAGTGGTGAGGAATGACTGTACTTTTGTTACCTTTTCAATAAAATTCAAACAAACCAACTACCTTTTTATTCTCATAGAGATTACTCAGATATTTGAAAGAACGACTGTCGTCCCATGTCATTTCAACGGTTGTTGAGCAAAGAAGATGAGGGAAATCGTCTTCAAACTTCTCATACAGAGCGGTACCGACTAGTTCTTCTCAGTGTGAGACTTCTAAGTAGATCATGTTCTCGAAAATATGAAATCACACCAAAAATTTCTTGATTTTACAGGAAGCACATCAGTAACATTTGATTCTGATCCAACTATCTGTATTTTTTAACCGGTAATTTAGGTACCATAAACAGTATAACGTGTAGGATTATATAATCAGAAAAGATTTTATAATTATGGTTTCTAGTATTCCTTGAGGTGGTTTTAATTCATAATAAACTGTTTACATTTAATTTTATGTGAAGAAAAGTGTACTGAAGATCAACCTGTGAAAAATGGATTGACTTTACAAGACTAAGTAACATCGACAAAATAATTATTATATTCTAACGTCACAGTAACAATGTGGGTAGTATTTTGTGAGTTAAATTAATTACAGTAAGCTAACATTTACATGGCTGTAATCAGTTTGGAATTAAATTTATTCGGGTAAGATCGACGAATCTAAATTTCGAACTTACTTGTCCAGTTGTTATCTTAAAATATTTCTACATTGCTTGGCAGGCAGTTACAATCAAAAACACACAACTCACAAAATCTTCCACAAAATAGTAAACATATTGGACACACAATCACTAGATATCCAAATTGATGGGCGAGGAAGCATGTCATCGGCCAAAAAAGCTATTGAATGTCAATTCCCCAGATCTCTGTGATATCATATCATATTGATTCAGTCTTAATATTTCTTTGCGAATCGGTCATAAAGTTCTTTGTTGTCATTTCAAAACATTTTCGACTGGTTGTTTAAATAAGTCTGCATATATAGCAAGTTGCGTATCAAGACATTTATTAAAGCGCTGTTAATTAATGAGTAGATGTACTCAGATCATTCGTTCGTTGATTCTAAGGCCACCATTACCTTATCCATCAAATTGGAATCTATAATAACAGTACAGACCATATAGAAATGAATCAGCTGAGCTTTGTTAACGGACGAATCAAGCGAGTAGATTAAAAGTAACATTCGCACTTATGAATGATAGAAAGCCCTATCCTACCAGAAAATAGTTCACACACGGAAAGAAAATTTGAGGTAAGATAAACTCGAATTAGTGCGCGTTTTAACATAAAATTCGATTATTTGAAGAATTCAGCTATGAAACGTAATCAAGACCTAGTCCGTTAAATGGGTTCAACTCTAAAAGCAGATTTGTTTGACATTAATAGAACAGAATAGTTGTCAGATGTTAATTTTTATTAATTATGTTTAGCGAACCTCAACAGTAGTTATGATTTATTCCTAACTAAGAATGTCGTTTATTTAGGTTTCTTGGATGGTTAAATGGTTTCGTAACTTGGCCTTGGGTACGTCGAAGATAGTTGTTTTTAGGTTACATAAAGGTCATCGTTCGCATTCAATTACATAACTATGCCACGGAAATTCGACTGATGTTGTAGAAAATGATGATACGCGATATCACTACAATGATATTCGAGGTTAGAACTAACAAACTAACCCCTGTCAAAGTCAGATCGTGAGTGGCCTAAATAATAATCTCACAGATTGAAATCATGAGTCAGTTGAAGCTAGACCACCATGGAAAATCTGGTCTAGCTTCAACTGACTCATGATTTCAATCTGTGAAATTTCTAAAATCTCCACAAACCCCTTCTGATACTAAATAACAATCGTCTAATGATTTATTATTACTATAGTCAACTAATACTCAATTGGAGAAGTGATTTACAACCGTGATACTTATTTTATATAGAATTACGTTGTCACAATGCATAACAAAATGAATATATTATTGAAATTTACCCGGAATGGCGGTGCATCGAACCATTGTGTGAAAGGTAAACAAATAAAAAAGTTTGAAATCAGATGAAAATTCTGGTAGAAGAGAATGGAAATTTTACAATCACAGCTCACGGAAAAAAATTCAAAGGAAATAAGTGAGAAATATGTAATCATTGTTAAAGCATATAGAAAACCGGTTTATGATCTAATAAGTTTGAATCATTATCGGATTTAGGAGGATTAGATAGTGAAGTAGAACCTGTTATAATTTTGCTAACAGGATACTTCTCATCTTCCGTACCACTTGTATTCACCTGCTTTCTGGAATTATTAGTTGAACTGACCATATCAGGTGTATAATAATCCATAGGCAGCTTAATTGTTGATCGAGGAGATGATTCTTCTTCTAGAAAGGCCAGTAACAATTCTGTGAATGTCTAAGTGAACAGAAAAATGTCATCATGGTCTTTATTGAGTCTTCGATAAACAAAAGTAACATTGATAATGTAATATAAGGGAAAATTAGGATATTACACCGATAAGATGTCAATAATTTTATTTAGTTTTTATCGTAGAAAAATCTTGCTGAGTAGATAAGGTAGGTGAAACACAATTGTGTTAAGCTATTATGCCTTAAATAATGAAATCATTCCCATACGACGGAAAAATACTTTCTACCGGGACAAACTACACCTATGTAGGTAAAGATTGAGTAATTAATTCGAATTTGGAGAAACTTAAAAATACTGACTCATTACTAGGGAAATTATCAAGAGTAATCATGTAACTGGGTTTTCGACAGGTCGTTCTACATAATTCCTTTTGTTAATAAGAGGCCTACAAGAACTGAGGCCATGTGTAATCTAAATATAGTAGTTCAGTCTACAGACGACCTACATTCTTAGTATATATACGCCAGCACAACCTACACTTACAGTCAGTAGTTGTCAAGTGAACAACAGATGCTATGATAATGGAAACGGTTGGAAGTCATATGTATAAAAAGTACTCAAAGGCCAACCAAAAACAGTCATTTGAAACCAAGAAACCCGTACAAAACAAAATGAACAAGGTAACATCCATACTAAACCTGGGAGCAAACTGTAAGGAGGTTTTAAAATAGCTACGTCACCCTAGTACGATTGAAACGGTAGTTGTAAAAGATTTAGCCAAAGAATATGACTCTCAGTGAATATGTTTCATGAACATAATATAGTATAATAGAATCCTTTCTTCTTTGTGAGTCGCCTACATTGTGAAAACCATAAATATGGTGTAAAGTGGGTCATAATTGTCAAATACTCATTTTCGGACCTTTCCACATTTACTATGATGCTGGTGTTTCATCCTGCTTATTGAAGTCGCAGCAAAACTCATCATTTATATATCGTTGTGGGCGATTTAGTCAATCACTCTGCCCCAGTAAGATGCTCACGAGGTTCTCTCATAAACTAACCTGAATGATCAGAAAGTTAAAAATTATCAGTTTTAAAATGATTTAAACAGAAAGTTGAGCACTTTTAATATTGTGTTCATATTTGAACCCATCGTGCCTGACTGTTGTGTTATATCCTAACACTTGAGGCAGTTACAATAATAATGAACTCAAAATCAATATCTCGATACTGAAATACAGTAGGAGATAACCTTAAAAAATAACTCAAAAATAGTCTAGATATGATAAGAGATGTTAATGTATAATACATGTTAGCAGGATTTCATGAATAAGCTATGTCTGTAAGATACATATATTTGAGAAAATACAAGATAATAAGCTAATTGTGAAATGTCTGAGTTTAAAGCATCGAAATACTGATGATGTTGACTGTCATTTAAAAAAGTGTCATTCGCGTGTAGCTTACGTAAAATATAGACACCATCCACTTTACATCAACTAGTTGCCAAATATGGTGACATTACACCTTTGATTATAACCTTAGTTGATAATGTCTTGAAAGTATTTTTAATCAATCTCTCTACTTTCCGACTAATTATAATAAACCTTTTTTTCGTTAGTGAGAATATAAATTGAATTTAATGAAAATACGTACCACTAATCATATACAGATGTATAAATGAATATCAGATTATGATTAGCACCCACTATGATACGAGGGTAATTTATCGAAGAAGACCATAACTGGAAAATTTAATGAATCTATCTACCCACACATTGTTTATTTACAAGCCTTCTTTTTCTTAAAAAAGGAGAACTGATTGACCAATTAAAACTATTAAGGAATCATCGAGTAAAAAAACCCATTGAAGACTTCATATACAAATATAAATGCAAAAAAGTAGTTGAAATCACGAATTTCAAATGACTTCTTTTCTGATCCACCACCACCACCACCACACACATGACTTCAGAACTACGTTATAAACTAATCATCTGATGTATATATATTTTATTTAGCAGAGGAAATATGAAATTGATGTGAGATAAACCAATATACCATGAATGACGGTTTAAAACACAGACAGAATGAATCAAGTGAACACCCCTAAGTATGTTTAACATAAAGAAATTCGTAAAATTTACGTTTAGCTATATTAATTAATACCTAACTAAATTACATCTGAGGCAAAAAAAAACATTCAAATGTCTAATATTATCAGGAAGTTTTGTTTTTAGTTTATACTTCACGGATTGACTATTTGGTAATGAAATCAGGTTTTCTATTCATGTCACTTTATATGTACATGGTAATTTATTACTTCCAACTGAATAATAATAATAATGAGTTAATAGCATCAGTTTTAAAAAGATTTTTAACATAAATTTTCCTTGTAAGAAAAAATGATCTAAAATATTGTTTTATGAGTCGTGGATGCGCACTGCTGAGGAGTCCCACAATAGGACGAAACGGCCGTACAGTACTTCCAGGTTCTCCATAGTGGTCTAGCTTTAATTGACTCATGATCTCAACTGTTTAAATTACTACAATCTCCACGAAACTCCTGATACTTATGAGTAATTATCACAAAAATATCCTACTATGACAGCTATACATAACTACTTCATGAAATTTCTATCAAATTTAAACAAACATATTAAAATAGTAACTATTAGCTCTTTTATGATAACA